TTCTATAACAGAAGAACAGCAAAAATAAAACTACCATTTACTAGAGTCCTAGTATGTTTCAAGCATTCTACTAGGACATTACATGTTACCATATTTAATCCTCAGAAAACCTCTATGGAATGCATAATGGAGATAGAAAAAAAAATAGTTCAGGAAGAAAAATAATTTTATAGGTAACAATTGTGGGTATATTTCTATCCATGTTGCTCTGGATTAACTGACATTGATACCCACAATCTTTCCACCCTGCTCCATGCCTATCCTCATTTAATGAGCAAACTGTGTCATATTCCAAATTAAGGCAAACTGAAAGCAAATCATTTTTATTAAGATAATGCCACTCTCATGTTACTATGACCTGAATGGCATCCCTTTCTCCTTTGTTATTTAATGAATAGTAAGATTAAGACTGATATTTTTCCATAAACACTGCAGAACATTTTATATTAGTACAAGTACATGAAATTAAAAAAAAGGATAATACTTTTTTACATTTCACTGAAGCATGGAATTATTTTATGCACAATTAAGGAGGTAAAAGAGAGTGATTGTCATTAATAGTATTATCTTGTATTGGCTGAACCTTCTTCAGAAGCATTTAATGTGACAAAGAATTTCCTTGAGAGAAACTCACACCTTTAAATACCCTCATCAACTGAATTCTGAGCAACAGCTAGCATGTACCTATTTATTGAATTTCAATATAATTTCATTATTAAAACAGTTAATTCAGTCACTTCAAGACCTTTTAAAAATACATCTCTATGATAAAAATTGATAGAAATTGAATGTATTCTCTATTTTCTGCCTTACTCCTGTTAAATCAACCACATCTTGTTTCATGCACTGATACTCTTGAGAATTGCAGATGATCAGAATTAGCCATAATTATTATTGAAACAATTCCATAGAATATTAAAAAGGAAATAAGTAGCTTATCAGAAAAACTAATTATTCACCTCCCAATAATAAAAATGTGCTTTACCTCCATGTTTAATGTTTTCAATTATTCTCATAAAGACAATTTGAAAGTTATTGTAACTTTCAAATGACTGTGACAAAAGAGCTGTGGTACATGTACACAATGGAATACTACTCCACCGTAAAAAAAAAAGGGAGAAAATTTTACTTAGCATCATGTTCTGTAGGTCCAATAGCATAGATGGACCTACAGAACATGATGCTAAGTGAGATAAGCCAGTCATAGAAAGACAAGTATCATATGGTTTCATTCATATGTGGAATTTAATTAACAAATCTAGTTCATCCTTCAAAATACAGATCAACATTAGCTTTTCTTTTAAAGCCTCCTCAACCCCCTTTATCAACTACACAACCTCTCTGCTTTCATAATGTTTTATTATAAGTACTAGAGGCCTAGTGCATGAAATTCGTGCATTGGGGGTGGGGGGGTCCCTTAGCCCAGCCTGCACCCTCTCCAATCTGGGATCCCTCTCACAATCTAGGACTGCTGGCTCCCAACTGCTTTCCTGCCTGCCTTCCTGATTGCCCCTAACCACTTCTGCCTGCCAGCCTGATCACTCCCTAACCACTGCCATGCCAGCCTGATTGATGTCTAACTGCTCCCCTGCCAGCCTGTTTGCCCCCAACTTCCCTCCTCTGCTGACCTGTGAACCCCTAACTGCCCTCCCCTGCAGGCTTGATTACCCACAACTGTCCTCCCTTGCAGGCCTGGTCCCTCCCAACTGCCCTCCCCTGCTGGCCATCTTGTGATAGCCATCTTGTGTCCACATGGGGATAGCCATTTTGTGTGTTGGAATGATAGTCAATCTTTTATTAAATAGGAGAGAGGCCTGGTTCATGGGTGGGGGCCAGCCAGTTTGCCCTGAAGGGTGTCCGGGATCAGGGTGAGGTTTCCATGGGGTGTGGGGCAGCCTGTGCAAGGGGCCTGAGGAGGCCAGCCACGCTGACCCCCACCCCCTCAGCGACCCAAGGCATCTGGGATTTATTTATCTTCTACAATTGAAACTTTGTAGCCTGGAGCTGAGCCAAGCCTTCTGCTCGCTCTGTGGTGGCAGCCATTTCTGTTGAGATTTATTTATCTTCTATAATTGAAACTTTGTAGCCTTAAGTGGTGGCCTGGGCCAGCAGGGTGTGCAGAAAGCTTGGCTTCCTCCATCACAGGGGAAACCCAAGTCTCCCTCCTGCTCTCTCAGTGGTGGCAGCCATCTTGGTTGGGTCAATTTGCATACTCACTCCTGACTGGCTGGTGGATGTGGCTTGTGGGTGTAGCAGAGTGATGGTTAATTTACATATTACTCCTTTATTAGATAGGATAGTATGCCATGTTGTAATTGTTGTATATGTACAGTATTATTCAATTGTGAGTTTCTTGAGAGTAGGGATGACAATAGCCTAGATAGCTTCTACTGCAACAGTGACTTCATAAAAGTCACACAGTGAGTCATCAATAATTCTTTGTTGTGGGTTGACAATAAAACTTTCATTTAATATACAATTTATATTAAATTTTCATATAATATGTAGTATATAGTATATGTGTCATAAACTTCATGTACTATGTTCATATACAATATATATACATATATACTCTATGCATGTCAATACACTATGTATATATATGAATATATGCATGTTTATGGTGTATGTACATGTACATACATTTGAAGCACTTTCAGGCTGACAAGGCCCTTGGGTATTATCTTTTCTAATGAATGAATATTACAAAATAGGAAACCAAGAACCAAATTACTTTGGCATTCAATGACTTTGCCAATGTTCTATAGCTTGTTTTTGTAAACACAGTGTTAGAGTTCCTGTCCCTTTCTCATCCTATGTACTTTTCACTGTATCACTTCAAAAATCTCACCAAGAATGTGACCCCCCTATAATATGCTATACCAAGACCAACCTTTCCCCAATGGAATGCATATCCTGGACTATCTCACCTCATTTTTCTCCCCCAATTCCCTTTCTGGGTCTTCATTTTCATCAAATGAGAAACACTCATGATTCTGTCACCTCGGTGTTTTCATTTACAATGTATCCCTCACCTTTAAATATTCCCTAGTTGCTCTGATAACTACTCTCAATTCCTTTATAGATATGGTAATGTCTCTTTTCCCTCTCAAAAATAAGAAAGAGGTCATTATTTTGCTCTCCAGTTTAATTCAGCATTTTTTTTTAACCAAACTGAGGATCACCAATAAAAAGATGTCTTTATCATTCTCTTCATACCAGCTTATTTATGTCTGAACATGAACATAACTTTGGAGTTTACAGATTACTTCTCATAACTTACTCATTTGCTCTTCATAACACTGTGAATAGTCAGAGAAGGTATCATCATGTTTATATGCAGCTGAAAACACCAAGGGTCAAAAGTAAACGTTGGTTCCTACAGCTAGCAAGAGCCGAAACTGGTGCTGGAACCAAGGTGTCCATATCCTTGCTCCTGACAGCTTTCCACTATTTTAAACTGTTTATTGGCTTGGGTTGCCACCATGACATTTATGTTGACATATATTGGCACCTCAGTTCCTGCACTCGAATGTTGCCTGGACTCTTCCTCTATCTGAATAACTACTTGGCTCTTGTTATTTTAATAGCACACATTTCAACCAGCCAAGTACTATTTTGAGCATCCAAATAATATTATTTAATGGAAATTATAGTTTGGTTATTGCTTGTTATGACTGAGCTTTTGAAAAGTAAAGCCATGACTTTAGCTAAATTAGAGATCTTCAACCATTGGTTTTAAATTAAAATTAATTAATCTGATTTTATCTACATCCACTCATCAACTGATCTGTAAACTGCAAGCATGAAGGAGAATGGCTAACACTCATCCAAATGGCTTTTCTAAAAACGTGTGTGTTTGTGTGTGTGTTTCATGCACGATTGTGTACATTAGCTTTAAGTCCATTTCTGTCCAAACCCACTAAGTTGTTGGATAGCTGAAACTTCTTTACGGATTTGGTATAACTATAGAGCAGACTGATCTGTGTAGCAGATCTGTGTAGCTACAGACCGCTGAAGTAACTTGTTTGCAATCCCAGGTTGAAAACATACATACCCTCCTCCCCCTCTCTACTGCATCCTTCTCTTAATATTTAGGCATCATTGCTCAACATGGATCCATGGCCTTAAGCGGTAAGCACAATGTTTCTCACTTCACTCTGATAAGCATCGCAAGTTTCAAGTCTGCTACAGAATTCTCAGTGTCCTCTGGAGGAGGGAGGAGCCGCTGGAGAGGGGGTAGTCTTCCCTCACTCCATTGTTTTCCTGCCCGTCACTGCCCTGCCAGGACCTCTAGTCAGCACTCTGCCAGGAGGTTCAGAGGGACGATTCATTCCTTGCTGCTTTTGTGGGTTGAAAACAAGGCAAGAGAATCCTCCAGACGGAAAAAGTTTAAATACCCTAACAATTGAGCCCTTTAAAATTCGCCGGGGAAGGACTGAGCTGCACCTGCTCTCTCGGAGCTCACTGGAGCCACATCTTTGCGGGTCAACTGTCAGAACTGCCCTTGTCTGGCCCGTGTCCACGTGTCCCTCAGATCACAAAGCTATACTTAGCACATTCGATCCTACAAGCGTCCGCATCATGGCACTGAGCAAAGAGTTTGCCTCAAGACAGCACAGAGACTGGGGCTACCCTGTGTGCGGGCTCTCTGCTAGACACAGATTTAAGAAAGTCACATCAGAATGAGAATCCAGAGGTGAACAACACTGCACTTCATCTCCAAAGTGCAGCGCCGGTTTGCCCTTCCTAACTGCGGAGCTGCCAGAGAGAGAGAGAGAGGAGACTCATTCCAGCGGCTCAGGGATGCCTCTGAGTTGTTAGGTTTCTCTTTCCCAATAGCCTGGGACATGACCCAATTCCCTTCCTACGCATCACACTTTTCTCTTTAGGAGCCCGGCACAGCCGGACCCCTCGTGGCCGAGCACAGGGTCCCTCCTGAAGCCCGCAGTGAAAAGGTGTGAAGAGGGGGAGAAGGGGCCGAGCTCGGTCCCACTTACCAGTCTTCCACAGATAGAGGGTGGGCGCGTCCGCCTCGCCCGGCGCCGCAGCCCCAGCCCCGCGGGCGCCCGGGCACCACAGCAGCAGCAGCAGCAGCAGCGGGAACAGCGGGAGCAGCTGCCGGACGCCCCGGCCCCCGCCCCGGCCCGCGGCTCCCGGGCTCCGGGGCGCAGAGCGCCTTGTTCGCAGCCCCATGCCGCCTGCAGCCGCTCCAGTTGTCCGGATCCTGAGAACACGGACGGCAGGGGATTTTTTCTGCGCCCTCCGAGCGTCTTCCCGAAGGAGTGCAGAAAGCAGAGCTGTGCCCTGCTATTGTTTGTTTCCCGAGGAAAAGCAGGGAAAAGGCTCTTTTAACACCGGGGAACAATAGCGTCCGCGGTGGCCCTGGCTGCCTCCACCGCCGCCGCCGCCGCCGCCGGCGGGGATGCTGCTGCGGCTGCCATTCCGCGCTCAGTGGCAAGTCCTAGTGGCGAGGGAGCGGGCGAGCGGGCGGGCAGCCGTCTGCAGGGGGCCCGGCTGGCGGAGCAGGTCCTCCAGTCCGGGAGCTGCGCAGCGCCCGCCGCCAGCTGGAGGGGGTGGAGGGGTTGGAGGGGTGGGGAGGTGGGGGTGGAGGGGGTGGAGGGGTGGGGGGTGGAGGGACCGTAAGCCCGAAGAGGGAGAGGGGGCTGGAGGCGGGGGTGGGGGGCGAGAGCCAGAGGGCGAGCAAGGCAGCGAGCCAGCAGCACCGAGAGGGGGGCGACCAGATGCGACACGCCCGCCCAAAGAACTCCCATGCACATGGTGCGATGAAATATGTTTGGGAGGCCGCACCAATGAAAAGAATCATCATCCGCCAGGCTCCCTCGTGACAAAATAGCAGGCACTGAGATGCCCCCTCGTCACCCAGCGAGTCCACTGCTAGGTGGAGTGGCATGTTCTTCTCAGGGTCTATGTGTACACAAAGCATCATCCGCGTTTGCCTTTTATTGTAACCGCTAATCTTCTGAGTCACTTTTTGAGGGAGCAGTACTCAAGATCAGATGTGGTGGTGGGGGGAAACATAGTAAAAACATCTGAAGGTGTTTACTTGCTGCTGAAATGTGCTTAACCACTTTTTAAAATGTTTTTTTAAAACAATTTGTTCTCAATAAAATTGTAATATTGATCACCTCTGACACAGCAAAGTACATTGTGTTTTAATAAGATTTTAAAAAAAATAGAATTAGTATGCAGTAAGTATTCACAATGCTATCTAGTTATATAGTTTTACAAAAAGTAATCAAAAATAGAATTTCAGATAAGGAGTCAATAAAAGTGCTAGTCCTTTATCTACTTTTTGTCCAAAATAGGCTTACTTTACACTTGTGAATAAAATTAAAGGGAAAACTAAGTTTTTGTGTGTTTTTTTGATAGCTCCAAATCAGTAAATTCTTTACTTAAAAATCCCTGGCTCTAATTTGTCTGAACTCTTAGTGTAGAAAAATATAATCTAAAATACCTCATGGGTTTGGGCCTTTTGTTCTTTGTGTTTTCACTTTCTTAAACTAGTAGTAACAGAGGGATGTGTGTGAAATCTGATAATACTTGGCCCTTTCTCTTTCTCTCCTCCCCCTCCCAATTATGACCTTTTATTAACTCATTTCCTAGTAAAGCTAAAATAATAGCAAAGCATTTAGCCCATTAAAAACTTTGCAAAGAGAAAGCTATTCGCATCGGGTCAACATCAATGTTTGGCCAAATAAAATAAAATTTAAAAAGCAGGAAAAATACTTTTATGAATGTACTCCATCTGCAGAGCCAACCCAAGAGTTTACATTGTGGAAGCTACTGTTTCTGAAAAAGGAAACCTTCCATAAAGCTCTCCTGGGACGCCTGTCATTTTGCAGATCATTCCAGGCACAGCCCTTCTGCGTGCATTAGATTAAGAGCAGGTTTGATCAAATAATCTCCAGATCCTGCCTGTTTAAGTATTCTGACATCAGAGGAAATTAGCAAAGGTTGAAGGTTGCAAATTCCTTCTTTGTTTATTTTCCACTCTGTTAGGCCTGTAAGAGGGAATTAAAAGCTCAGAGAGCCCTAGCTATGTGAGTCTGTGATTAGGAGAGATAAGCTAGTGTGGATTACTGTTTCTTCACTGGTGAGAAACAGGCAACAATCAAAAGATTATGGGTTGATCTTAACTAACGTGTGGCTCCCTGAAGGAGAACACCAACCCAGAAACAGTTACTACACCAAAGAAAAATAGGACCTGGCTGGCTCTGTCCTCTTTGGGAAAACTGCCGTGCCACTAATGGTGGTGTTTTCCTATCCTGCTTGTTTTTATTTCTCAGCTAGCAAGGGCCCTAAACCCTAAAATCCAGTAACTGGCACAGGGAGGATTTCATGCCACAAGTACTCTGTTAATATCATCCCCAGCTAAGCATTCTTGGGAAGTCCAAATCAATTCACCAAGTAGAAACTCATTAATAAGAACGGAAGACAGAGAACTAAGGAGTCTAGTTAGTACAATTTAATATACAGGGTAATTACTTAGCCATTTGAAAAGTCATCAGAAGCCATACCTAATAGCTTAATGTCAAAAGAAAATTTAAGATTCTAGTCTTTATATTTACCCATGGTTGTATAATAACGGCTCACCTGGGGAAAAGGTTTAAACATGATAGCCACAATTTCAAGCATTCTATTTAAGAGCCAGGGGCCACTTCTGAATCAAAATTTGCTACCATTTAAAAATACACAGCCAGAGTGAATATTCTGCAATACTGTTTGAAAATAGCCAACAACTGGTTTCCTTCTTCTAATTCCAATTTATTCAAGGCTTACGGATCACACACAAACATGCAATACGCAATCAGTCAGCGGGAAAGACATCTCTGGACAAGGTTACAGAAACTAAGTCATATAAACATCTGTCTCCACCACTGCCACATATCTGTTCCATAACAATGTCCTTATTGCACTTGAGGACAGAAATGTATGGGTCTCTGAGGAGACACAAGCGATATATATATATTCAGATGCATGCTCCTTTGTGAAAGCTGTAGTGTCCAGCTGGGTAAATCCTATCAATAAAACTGATAGACGGCAAAAGAGAGCGAGACATCGCATTCTTTGTTTTCTAGAGTATGATATAAATAACGTACAAATGCTTAATGACATGATGTCAAAATTTAGTCATGAGAAGTCTCAAGGATGCAGATTAAATTGACCATCTGTACAGTCTGCCATGAAGTAAATCGTTCATCATTTTTCATGAAGAACTATTCACATATTAATGAGCCAGGGCTATAAAAGTTTTCCAAACCAATGGATGAAAAATGCAAAGCATATTTTTTAATGCTTATAAGTGAGACAATTCTAAAACTATCACCTCTCATGTGATATCCTTTCATCTGTCTTTATTATTTTTCTATCATTTCCAAACTCCAGAGAGTGGGGGAGGGTAGGAACATATCTATGCAAGTGTTTTTTATTAGGGAACAGGAACATATAAACATATTTTGTAACTTGTAAGACATATGGATAATGACTTTCAATGATTGGTACCAACATTTAAAATCAATCATCAAAAATTCAATTACTTGACAGGGAAAGAGCTTTTGATAGCATCAGTTTTTATGAATAAAAACAATAACTAAGTGAAGAAATATAGTTATTCATAGATAGAGTGTTATATAGGGTAGTGTCAAACAATGTCCCATTTTGAAACAAACATTTTAAATATTTTTCCCTACATAAATGCATCTTGCCCTATTTAAGGAATTCTGTTTGTGTGGCCTCTAGGTGTCATACTTGACCAAGATTTAGGGTAGACAAAATTTATTTTGGGCTTCTTTCTATTCCCCACTTCTTGCCACACCCACCAAATTATTAAAAGATAAAACATTTAACTTTTTGGTTTTGTAATAAGTAGCCATAGATTTTCTTTTCTCTCCCAAATCTGACTAAAAGTCAGATTCTATATTCCTCTTAATTTATTTTACTTTATAATGACTTTTGTTTGTTAGCTAGTTGGATGGTTGAATGGTTTGTTAGTTTGTAGGGATGTGTAGTGAAGGGAGAGTAGAACCTAAATTTCAGATAGTTTCACAAAATTAAACCTGCTTGGAAACAATAAGAATCTACTATAAATAGTGGGACCCCTTGTTTTGAATATCAGATTAAAATGTAGAATACTTTGATTCAGATCCCTCTAAGGCTGGAGGAATGATCACTCACCATAAACCTTACAATGAGGATCCCATCATATATGGTACTGAAACTTTAGTAGCCCCCAGTACAAGGTAACACCAGAATGTTAAAAAAAAAAAAAAAAAAAAAAAAAAAAAAAGGTCACCAGTGGTGACCTGGGAGACTGTTTCTGTAGGAAACACCCTGGCAGAAGGGATTAACCAAAGAACATGTACACATAACCCATGGACACAGGCAGCAAAGTGGTGATGACCAGAGGGAAGGGGGATTATTAGGTAGAAGAGGGTAACGGGGATGAAATGGGTCATCTGCAATAGTGTCAACAATGAAAATAAAGTATAGAGGCACAAAGTATATAAGTGTAACAGAATTCACTAGTATAATCACCAGTTGTGTTGATGTCCTACAGATGTATAATGAGAAGGCACAGGCCTTTAACAAACAATTGAGAATCCCAGGAGTCCTTGAAAAGAGATTCTTGCCCCCTGCATTAACAGAGTGAAAAGGACACATATGCTGTAGCCGGTTTTGCTCAGTGGATAGAGCGTCAGCCTGTGAAATTAAGAGTCTTGGATTTGACTCCAGTCAAAGGGACTGTATCTCAGTTGTAAGCTCAATTCCCAGCTGTGGTTTGGTCACAAGCAGGAGGCAACCAACTAATGTGTTTCTCTCTCACGTTGATATTTCTCTTTTTGTGTCTCTCACCCTCCCTTCCATTCTCTCTTAAAAACAAAACAAAACAAAACAAAACAAAACAAAAAGCTGGGCACATCTTCTTCCTTGCTGGGCCTGCCCCACTTCCTCTCCTAGTTTGCAGGCTGATAGCTAGAACTCAGCCTACTATATGATGGATCTTAACTATAATACATGGTAAAGGTGCTTCAAGAAGTAGCTAAGTTAAGCATACACAGAAGTTTAACGATGTTTTCCATGTAGTTAGTGATGAGTTTGAAAGTCACAGGATACCATATTTCTTTATCCATTTTGTTTTGTCCAAATTAGAAATGGCTTTCTGAAAATCAGTGATTCTGTAGAGAAATTGTGCAGTGAAAAAATACACAGATACTTGTCTAACCTGAATTTATGTATAGTACAAGGTCCATGATGGAGGCATGACAAGTACTTGTGAAAAGGAGGAAATAATTTAAATAAGTAATTCATATTCCTAAAATTTTAAATTGTTTTTTAATGTAGTAATTAGAAAGAAAGAAAAAAAGTGTGCCCAAATGTTTCAAGACAGATATGCACAATGAATTCAAGGACAGTACTTTCCTAAAAAAGAATGAAGCTTGTCATACATAATTACCCATAAATGAACTAAAAAAAAAATGAAGCTTGTCCTTGAGCTAAAAATTTATTATATAAAAGTTATACT